TGACAAAAAATAAACAAAGATATACAAGGTCTAAATGATACCACACACAAAATAGACTTGACAGACATCTACAGAGTATTTCACCCAACTACCACAAAATATACATTTTTCTCACCCCCACATGGGACGGTTTTGAAATTTGACAACATGGTAGGGTACAAAACAAGTTTTTACAAATTCAAATATATAGAAACTATATCTAGCATCTTTCCTAACTGCGATGGAATCAAAATTGAAATCAACTACAGAAAGAGCCCTTGAAAATACACAAACACATGGAAACTACACAACCTACTTCCAAATGACTTTACAACTATAAAACAAATTAAGACTGAAATCAAAACATTCAAAGAAACCAATGATAATTAAAAAAACAAGTGTTTATGGCCGATGGGACACAGCAAAAGCAGTCTAAGAGAGAAATTCATAGCAATTAGTGCCCATAAGAAAAAAAAAAAACCCAGAAAGGTGGCAAATAAACAACCTAACAACACAACTCAGAGAACTTGAAAAACAACCGAAAAACCTCAAAAAATTCCAGAAGAAAAGAAATAATAAAGATTCAAGCAGAAATAAATGAAATAGAGAATAAAAGAACTCTATATAGAAAATAAACAAAACCAAAAGCTGGTTATTGAGAAGATAAACAAAATTGACACACCGTTAGCTAGATTAATCAAGAAGAACAGAGAAAGTAACAAGATAAATCAAATCAGTAAGGAAACAGGCATAGTACAATGGACGTAACAGAATTACAAAATATCATCAGAGAATACTATGAGCAATTATACATCAACAAACAAGAAGACCTAGATGAACGGACAAATTTCTGGACACTTAAAACTTACCAAGATTGAACCAGGAAGAAAGAGATAGTCTGAATAGACCCATAACAACCAATGACATTGAATAAGTAATAAATAGTTTTTCAACAAAGAAGAGCACATGTCCCGATGCCTTTACTTCTAAATTCTACAAAACTTTTAAAGAAGAACCTTAATACTCCTCAAACTATTTCTGAAGATTCAAAAAGAAGGAACCCTTTCAGATTTATTCTATGAAGCCTCCATCATCTTAATTCCAAAACCAGACCAGGACATGACAAAAAAGAAAACTTTAGACCAATATCTCTGTTGAATATGAATGTGCAAAAATCTCAAGATCATACTAGCAAATCATATTCAACAACATATTAAAAAGATTATACACCATGACCAAGCATCCTCGACAAAGGGCACAAGACAACACACCGGGAAAAAGAAAATTTGTTCAGCACACGGTGCTGGAGATCAGAATATCCACCTGCAGAAGAATGAACCTGGATCCTATCTCTCACCATTAAAAAAATCAACTCACAGTGGGTTGAGGATTTAAATGTAAAACCTCAAACTGCAAAACAACTGGTAGAAAACACAGGGAAAACTTGGAGATCTTTGAGTAGGCAAAGAATTCATAAAGAAGATCCCCAAAGCACAGGTAATAGTTCCCAAAATAGACAAGTGGAAATATATTAGAACGAGAAGCTTCTGCACAGCAAAAGAACAATAATTAGAGTGGTAAGACAACCCTCAGAGTGGAATGTAATGTATACCTCAGGTAAGGGACTGATAGCCAGAATAAACAGGGAATTCAAGCAGCTTACCCATAAAAAAAAATCAATCCAATTAAAAGAAAGTAAAAATGAGGTAAAAAGACAATTCTCCAAAGAAGGCATACAAATGTCCAAAAAGCATATGAAAACATGCTCGACATAAGGGGAATGCATAAAGCATATGAAAACATGCTTGACACATACTATTATAAGGGAAATAAAAATCAAAACCACAAAGAGATACCACTTAACCCCAGTCAGAATAGCTAAAATTAAAAAAAAATAATGAGATAAGTGCTGACAAGGTTGTGATGAAAAGGGAACTCATGCTGTTGGCGGAACGCAGATTAGTACAAACGCCTG